TGACGGGGTACAAGTAACTACAGTGCGATGTAACGGTTTCAAAATAAACAAACCTGCAAAAGTCGACTAAATTGATAAAGGCGGTGAAGTCCTTCATCTTATTGGGCAAGAGATGAGCCGTCGGGTCAGAAGAAGGCACGACATGAGACGCATCTTCTGGAGCCTGACGAGGAAAAGGAGACGGGTTGTCACCAAGGAGAGTTTGGCACATTGGTCGCAATTGCCGTGTCCACAAAGTGCAACCACGCACCTCCTCGCCCGGCGTGACCTTTTGCAACGACAAATCTAATTTCTCAATAATCAGAAGAAGCGATTTGACCAGCTCATCGTAGAGAATGCGACTCAAGGGCACAAGAGCCGCATTCTGACTTTCAAAAGCTCCGTCCAAAAATCCGGAATCCTGTGGAAGCAGACAAATGTGAGGGCGGGGGCATGAAAGGAAAAACGTACTGCACAATTCATCATATACCACTATACACTGTATTTTTATTTAGTTTGTTTTGTTTTTTTATACTCATAGATTGATGATTTTTTTTTTTGTTCAAAGGACTTTAAGGCCACAAACACACACACACACACACAAAAACAGTACCTTCAACCGGTCGCAGTCTAGTAGGTCTCTGTATAGGGCAAGATAGTTCTTACTCGATGGAAGTTTCCACCTTCCAACACGAACTTCAGAATCATTTTCAGAAATTTCGGCCTATTTAAAAAAAAAAAAACCCCAAACAAAAACCACAAATTTATAAAGAGGTTAATCAAAACCGAGGACTTCGCTGTTGTAAACAAACAACATATAACTAACCTCAGTGACCATGGGTTTAGAACAAACACGAATCAATCCTTGGTGCACTAAAAAATACAAAAAGAATCAAATGAAATATAATTCCTCAATTTGACACCCGATTACAGATTTGTTACTTTTTAAATGGCTTGGAAACAATCAAAAAGAACCAGATCTTTATATCACTGAAATCACAAATGTGAACAAGTGTTAAAATTGTACTACACTACTTGCTAGTCATTAATCTAACCCCAAACCTTTGTATTTATTTGTGGACTATCCTCGTGACTTCAAAACCTTACACAGCATATGTACACACCTTCATAAAGCCATATTTGACACGATTCTGAAGTCCCTACAAAACATGATTCATTGTAGACATTTTGAACTCAGTTCCGCTTACCCACAGAACTAATGAAACTCCACAGTACAGGTCCTTTCGAGGCCATGGCCACCAGCACTTTAATGATGGCTCTGCAACAAGCGATCTGCATTTTTTCACTGTACTGAGGGAAGCTGTCAATCTGTACCACCAGCAGACGTTCCAGTTGCGGTGTGTACACCTCCGGAACCTGAGGTCAGAGCGGGTGAGAAGTGGTGAAATATAATAGCTTGTGAACTGCGGCTTCAATTTCAATAGTGTGCTGGGAATAGTCCATTTCAGTTTGAGATTTCCTGTAATGATGCAACGTTAAATCCAAGTATTGATGATCTAAAAGAACCGCAGGGGTCCAGAAGCTAGGCAGAGCGGAGTGAACAGAAAAGTACGATGAGTTCCTGAGTTTGTGACCTTGTCTAGGTGAATCAGGACACTGGCGACAGAGTCCAGGAAGCTGGGCAGCTGGTAGAAGCTTTCGTCCTCCCCATCAGACTCAGTCAGGTACATCTGCTTACAGCGTTGAATCAACTCGGTGTACATCAGTTCCACATCTTGCGGGCAGACCTTCTTGCACGGCTTAAAGAGAGACAAAATCAAATTGTACACCCGACAAAATTCCGATTTGAACTTGGGAATGTCACACTGCCTACACTCACTCTTGCCCGAGACACAAACTTACAGCTGCAAACAATCCATATCCTCGTATGGCGATGGAGAGTTCTTTGTGGGTGGACTCCATGGTCTTAATGATGTTGCAGAACTTTTGCATGAAGAACTTCAACTTGCTCTTGTGCTCCTCAACATTTTCCGCCACGAGTAGCGAAACCTGGAAATACGGCGAGCCAAAATCCACACCGCTTGATCACAAAATTCTCTGCGATGGAAAGTTTTGTGAATGAAGACGAGAGTCACCTGCTTCAGGAAGGCTTCAAGTGCATAGTAACTGGTCTTCTTCATTTCATGGTTGATGTGACCACAGAGCTTGGACATGGCATCAAACACCTCCCTGTAGTGGCCTATGAGGCCGCTGCTGAACTGGGGCGCGTGCCGGGCGAACAATCGAAGTCCAGCTGTTGAAGAAATCCAGCTTTCGTGGTAACTAAATTGGAGCGTTTCAAATTCACAATGCCACGAAAAGTGGAAACTCACCAAAAGTGACGGCATACCGACTCATTTCCATCTAGAAGAAAAAAAAAAAAGGACCGACAGTTCAAAACCGTAGACGCACAATCCACAAAGCTTCCGCACTTTTAAACGCAACACATTAAGACGTAAATCTGAGCTGAATACGTTTCACGCGCACGTAAATGTACACATCCTGACACCACTGTGTGTTAAGGGAGGTCCCAAAAGCATTTACCTGTGGACTAATTGCTTTTAGAGCGTATTGAAAAATTTCGTTGGAGGTCTCCGGGTCTGCAGGTCAAAGACAAACACTCCTCATTAATCCGACAGCGACTAAATATAAGCACGATTTGCCTGATGCGAGTTCTACGGCCCGGCTGACCTTCCTCCGTTGCGTTCGTGAAGTTAACCATGAGCGAAGTGATTCCTCTCAAGCAACCAGCAACTACAATGAGTTTGGGCTCCTTTGTTGTCGAAGTCATCTGTAAAAACGACAATAAAACCGCAGCTGTAAACATAAATAAAAGTGGCAGAAAAGTCAGTTGAGTTTGAGGCCGTCACACCTGTTCTTTAAGCTCCCCTCGATAGGCTTTGAAGAGTTTGTCCGAGTAGTTGGCCATCTCACTGGGGTGAACCTCGGCAACAACTCCCAGCAATTCATAGATGATGCCGAGCACTATTGAACAAAAAGAAAAACAACAGATTTTGCTTTAAAAAAAAAAAAACGTTTCCATCATTATTATACCATTCCGTATTATAAATTAAGCCCTTACCTGAATCTGGAAGTTTGTTCTTTTGATAAAGTTCACTGTAAAATTTGGTGAATATTTCACCAATTCTCAATTCCGCTGCCACAGTGGAAGCTTTTGTTGTTAGAAGCACCTTTTGAGTAAAAAGTTGTTCATGATAAGATCACTGGCGACCGCAGAAGTAAAATATTTAGAAATGAAAACATTTTATGAATTTGCTAAGATGTGATGCTTTTCAGGCAGTACAAAAGCTTTATGTCTGGGTGGGGAAAAAGAAAAAAAAAAATCACAAAAGAAACCAACCTTAACAAGCAGCTCCAGCACTGCACTCCTACATTTGGCAGTTTTTTCCTTTGCATACACCATCATACACGTGTCCTGCAGGAAAGGAAATAAATAACTTTGTTCTTGAGCTTTTTGTTTTGCCTTGCTCTCAAGGGCGACTGAGTTTGGAATCAGCGTATTAAATACTGTAAGAATATAATCTGTTGGTCCAAAGGAAACTTACTCTTATGTCAATTGCGTATGTCTTCTCCCACCCTTTGACCCTTGGAGAAAGCTTGTCCAAAAACTTCTCCAAAAAACACAACGTCTTAACCCTGGCTTCCCGGAGCTGGAAAGGGGGTGGGGGGGGGGCATTTCATGACATCACTTCTCAACATGAGACTTTTTTTTTTCAAAGATGTACTCTCGGTTCCCACCTCATCTTGTGGTAAAGACTTCTTGAGGAAGATGAGCAGCCCATAGTCTTTCGAAAACAGCAATGATGTCTGTAAGGCTTTGAGACACAATAAAATGACAACATGTTGAGACACACATTCTGCCTAGCAGGACCAGCATGTTGCTAAGAGTTGGTAATAACTGGAGACCAGCCGGTGTCATTAGCTGCCAGCAGGTCAATAATAGCCTGTTGGTCTTGCTGGGTGGCATTGGCTCAATTGGTAAAGCGGGTTGCACGGTGGCTGCGGGGTCGCGTGTTTGAATCGTCGCTGTTTTGCTTTGCTTTTGCTGCTGCTTTATTTGTTTTTCTCCTGCACGAAAATACAACAAAACCATGCTAGTCTATATTGCTCTGTCTTTTTTTTTTTTTTTTGCAGAATCTCGTGCATTCACTTCTTAACTAGTAGAGCGTTGCTTAACTGTTACAATGTAATTGTCGAACTAGTATACCATTGTTGTACTACTCGTCGATGCTACGAGAGCTAAAAATGGACTCCTCTTGGAAGTCCAAACCCTCGATTCAACTTTCGCGAATTACAATCGTGAACTGCATCACTGAGACTCTACAATGAACACAACTGTGTAGTAGAAGGGATTTCTGCAAGCCTCTCACTATACAACTATTATAAACAGCATACTACCACTGCATCCAATAAAAGCAGTTGCATTCAAAACAAGGCTGCCTACGACGCATTTTGACGAGAGTGCATGATTTTACCCAGTTCATTGTCGCTGGGTGTTAGCATGCACGTCTGCCCCAAGTCTCCCACTAGGTCTTGGCAATTCAGAGACGCACGACCGGTATCGTCGTCTGCGAGTGATTCGTGAAGTTTCAAAAGGAGCCCGTGAATCCCTCCAGCGGCGCTGCTTTGCGGAAGAGACATCGCCGACCTAAGGTAACATTTGCAAACATTACAACTGTCGCTTCGTTACTTTATAATCTGTGTGCAGACAGTCAGTGATCTGAAAGTACTGCACACAATGCATTCAATCTCGTACCCGGAAGATTTCAAAACAGGAAACGCAATCGCGGGTTTTCAAAATAAAGGTTCAAGTGCCTGTACCGGACACACAAAAAATAGAGTATGAACGCTTGTTATATAAGTTATACACACTCCCATTTACACCTGTCGACAATTTCAAGCCCGAGGGTGCACCAGTACCCCCCCCACACCCATGCAGGCTGTTTTAGATGCCTCCCTCCTCCAACACATCTGATTCAAATCATCGGGATCTGGCCCTCGAGAGCCCCTTTCCAGCCTATTTTAAATGTCTCCTTCCTCCAACACGGCTAGTTTAAATAATCAGCTCACCAGCAAACTTTGCAGAAGCCTGACAACGATCCTCATCATATAAATCAGGGGTGCTGGAGGAGGGAGACATCAAAAACAGGCTCTTGGGGGACAGACTTGGGCAACAATGATTGTGAGCCTTCAGCCAGGACCTTGCAAGTATGGTTCTGGAATGTGGAAGAAGGCTGGAGTAACCTGGGGTTGAAAAACATGCAAGAAAATAACATGAAAATCACATTCCTTATGAGCGATGACCACTAATTAGTACATATTGGTTTGACATTGCTAATGATTTCATGTTTCTCTGAATTTACCGGTAATTGGAACATTTTCAGATTTGGGGACCGTTTACATGATGTTCCGTATTAATAAAAATTGACAAAGGCTACATCCTTACCATATTGAATTAAATTGTAATCCCCCTGAATCGAATTGAATCGAATCATTCCACTTGAAAATGTACTGCTCTTGAATCATGTCATACCCCGTGTATCGAGATACGTATAGCGGTCTTTTTATTGGTGAGATTCACACCGCTAGATTACAGATATTTATTTTCAATGCCCATTTTAGAGTATTTCCCCAATGTCATGTGACTTTGAAGCCAGCACATTCTGATCTTTGATGTTACTGGTTTGTCACTTCATAAAGACAAACAGCTCCGGTTGAAAGGTGGGTGCAATGGGGGTTGCGCTTATAAACCAGTTCGCACATTCTCAACCTTTTTTTTTTTCTGTGGCCTAGCCAGGACAGTGTGTTATTGCAATGGATGTGAGTATTTGCCATATTAATATTTAGGTAAAATCACTTCAAGGTAGTGAGGTTAAAGTACTTTGTTTTATGTCACATTTATTGAGATATGTTGTGATTATAGATAGAACAGACTGAAGAAAGTTAACCCATGCATGATTTATACAGAAATATATTTGAATTCGAATTTGCCCTTGCCCATTGATCATGTGTCCAAAAGAATGGAAAGTGCTTGCTGTGAAATGTAATTGATATTTTGTCCCTTTCTCTAGTCTCCCCCATCGAACAATTTATCCATTGAGGGGACACAGACACTGTCAGCCATGACCATCAACTCACAGGCCCTTCAATCGGATTCAAATTCTTCAGAATACTATCCATGGACGTATCAGAATCCCTGTTTCCCGGGATTTCAAGGTAAAAATCATTTGTACTTGTGTCTCCAAACATGGCTGTTCTCTCTTTTTTGATGTTTTGTCCACTTTAAAGAAGGGACATTGGAACTTCCAGTTTATTCAACTTGGACTTCCGAACCGAATGTCATCGTTCCACTTTAAAATGTACCGTCCTTGAATCATATGGCGCGCCATGAATCGAGATACATGTCGGATTTGTTCGCAACAACATTTTTGTTACCATCAACGCAACCGAGGTCTCCAAAAGAGAAATTTCTGATGAAACATCAAACCGGTGTTTGAACATATTTTTCAGGCGCTGCATTCTGCTACCAGAGTGAAGGAGCGCAGGTTGTGCCAATCGCCATGACGACGACGCAACCAGGTAGGGAGATTAAATACACACACACACACACACACACACACACACACACACACACACACACACACACACACACACACACACAAAAGAGACTGGTTTGTCACTTCATAAAGACAAACAGCTCCGGTTGAAAGGTGGGTGCAATGGGGGTTGCGCTTATAAACCAGTTCGCACATTCTCAACCTTTTTTTTTTTCTGTGGCCTAGCCAGGACAGTGTGTTATTGCAATGGATGTGAGTATTTGCCATATTAATATTTAGGTAAAATCACTTCAAGGTAGTGAGGTTAAAGTACTTTGTTTTATGTCACATTTATTGAGATATGTTGTGATTATAGATAGAACAGACTGAAGAAAGTTAACCCATGCATGATTTATACAGAAATATATTTGAATTCGAATTTGCCCTTGCCCATTGATCATGTGTCCAAAAGAATGGAAAGTGCTTGCTGTGAAATGTAATTGATATTTTGTCCCTTTCTCTAGTCTCCCCCATCGAACAATTTATCCATTGAGGGGACACAGACACTGTCAGCCATGACCATCAACTCACAGGCCCTTCAATCGGATTCAAATTCTTCAGAATACTATCCATGGACGTATCAGAATCCCTGTTTCCCGGGATTTCAAGGTAAAAATCATTTGTACTTGTGTCTCCAAACATGGCTGTTCTCTCTTTTTTGATGTTTTGTCCACTTTAAAGAAGGGACATTGGAACTTCCAGTTTATTCAACTTGGACTTCCGAACCGAATGTCATCGTTCCACTTTAAAATGTACCGTCCTTGAATCATATGGCGCGCCATGAATCGAGATACATGTCGGATTTGTTCGCAACAACATTTTTGTTACCATCAACGCAACCGAGGTCTCCAAAAGAGAAATTTCTGATGAAACATCAAACCGGTGTTTGAACATATTTTTCAGGCGCTGCATTCTGCTACCAGAGTGAAGGAGCGCAGGTTGTGCCAATCGCCATGACGACGACGCAACCAGGTAGGGAGATTAAATACACACACACACACACACACACACACACACACACACACACACACAAAAGAACCAGAATGAATAAAATATTGAAGTTGTTTGTATGGCGCATTTTAGTGAGAACAAAAAAATATCAGTCCAGTGTTTCACATGTGCTGTTGAGCAGTGTGACGTTATAAATGAATGATGTCATGTGTCACCTTTAATATATCTTTGCTGGGTCCGCAGGTGACCTGACTGCCCCTCATCTCCAGTACGCCAGCCCCATTTTCACACAGGCCGTGCCACAGGGCGGCGTCCCTCGTAAACAGTCAGAACGCAGCCTGATGAAGAACAGGTAGAGGAAATGTCATTCGCATAAACTTAGCTGATAAATTGGCCACGTTCATGTGAACGGTTATGATAGTTTATATTTGCATTTTTTGTTTGGCCCTCTGCAAGCATTCCAGTTTCTTTTGTGGCCTCTTTGAAAAAAAATAATGCCCCGCCCCACCTAAAAAAAAATACTGTAGTATGGAACAAATTCTGCCTTTAGGAAGAGTATTATAGTTTTATTGTTATTATCCATCCATTTTTTAAAAAAATTCATTTATTACTGTTCAGCGTAAGTTTTATTTCGATATGTTTCAGCTTACACATACGTATGAATTTGCTTCATGGGCTCTCTTCCAGGGAAGCTGCCCGCGAATACAGGCGGAGGAAAAAGGTCTATATTCAAGATCTTGAGAAACGTGCGGAAAAGCTTGAAACTGAAAATATGGCCTTGAAGGAAGAACTGAAAACCTGGAAAATGGGGCAACAGAAATTCCAATAATTTTCCCACAAATGGCTGGAATCCTTTCCGAGTCTGCGTTTGAATTGCACGTTTCTGTTCATCATATGACATTTATTTTTTTATTATTTGGTTACTGGGACACGTTTGTTCATGCAGCCTGCAACGAATATTCTGGGATGTTTAGCTTCTGTGATTTTCTGTCACAAGCTAGCGAAAAATTCAGTCACATCAGATTTCTGGAATTAAAAAAATACCAAAAAAAAAAAAAAAGCCAGAATGCAGGCAATGGGGAATTGTTATAAAACTGTCCAACATCGACTTTTTCAATGTTTGAAATTGTGACATGAATCATGGAGGCAAATCCCAAGTTTTATTTTTATCAAGATGGAGGATTAGTTCAATGATTTTGCAAATATGAGCAAATGAGTATTGTCCAACACTGGTATGGTGGTGGGGGGAAAAAAGTGTTGCTCTGAATACTTGAAACAAAATGTGTGAAAGACTTGCACAGTATTCTCGCAAACAGATACTGTGTTGAGCAGTGTCATGATATGTGAACGGGAGGAGGCGTCACCAACAGATTTTTGCACAGCCCCACATGGGAATGGACCAGAACTGTAAATGCACCACAGGATGGCACTGACAAGACAGTGGTGCAAAGTCAGGAAGTCCAAATACTTTCTCAGCAGTACTTTAGTATTTATTTTTCCGATGACTTTTTCTTTCATTCCAAATATTGTTGAAAACAGACTGCTGTTTTCTCCTCCTTACTTCTGCAAAGTAGGCTTCTTTTTTCATTCACCTCTTCTTACATAATCTCAAGAGTGAGCGGGCAGCAGGTGTGTTACATTTACGTTTTTCTGCTCTCACACACTCAACATTACGGGTCACCGGAAGTTCAATATGACACCCAATGGCAAAGAATTGTTGCTTTGCTCTACATGAGGGATGGAACGTCTGACCCGCACCCACACTCGGGAGTAGCCCTTGATTCATTTTTGAAAACAATATTGACTGTAGCTACACAGCTTTTTGCTGTGTGAACGGCGTTCGCCAGCAGGACCCAGAATGCAGAGGGGACACTCTGGCTTTGCAGGGCTCCTATGACAAAGCAGTGTGAGATTTACGGCCATATACATAGCGTACTTCACTCTTAATATTTCGATGAGTCGGCCTGATAGTTAGGGGATTTTGAATGACATGCGGGACAAACACAGTTGAAGAACATTTGAGTGAGTTGAGTTTTTTGTGAATGTTTACAAAATAAGTTCTTGCACTGCATGTTGCTGTGCAGTTCAGATGTTCTGTGCTATCTTTGGGAATGTTTTCTTGTAAGAGATCCCTTTGCACAGGGGGAAAAATGGTATGTTGTTGTTTTTTGTGGGGGTTTTTTTGCTTCAAAGCCTTTGTAGTTCAGGAATGGTTCCTGTATACATGCAGTGGAGCATTAAAAGATAGCACGATTGTATTCTGTGTATTGGTTCAATAAAACAGACATTTGCACATATTTTGTCCTTATTTAAAATGATATAATTGTCATTCATCTGGTGTGGATGTTTGTGGCACTTTGTGGCCCCCCAGTTGCTTGGTCATTTAAAAAAAAAAAAAAAAAAACTGCTGTGAATCAAAATTCAAGTTGCGAGTGCGCTTTGGAAATTCCACTGGTTGTGTAAAGTGAAAAAAATAGAACAGTTGCCACTGCACTCTCAGTCCTTTATTGGCTTGTAAAAACAGTCAAATGCACAAATACAAAATGAGAACGCTCGCAAAGCAGCAACTTTAGGCTAAAACTCAGATCCACACGCTGACATTAACTGCCATGTTGCTGACGTTACCCACTGCCGAGTAAACCGTTTAAAAGTGGCTGACCAATTAAAAAATAATACATTAAAAAAAATAATTATTCATCAACTGAACTTGAGTGAAATGAAGAAAGCTGAAGCGCTTTCCTGTTTTTCAGGACAAAAAGTCCCACAGCAACTCACATGTAATCATTTGCTTGCAGTACTTTGGCAGAGCCCACCGAAAAACTTTGTCACGTTGGGAAAATCCACCCTGATGAGCAAGTGAAATAGCAGGCGGCTGAGTCACTTCATCCTGCATAGCAGCTGCCATGTGCCGAAGAATCGAGTGGACCTACGTTACTTTCTAAATCCATGTGTGGCCATCTGCTTTGTAGCAAACGCCCTCTTCTGTCAGCGCATGGCGAACAAAGTGAATTACCTAGAACGTATGATGCCGTTGCTGTCATCGGCTGTTTTGAATTATGTTATGTCGGCGCATGGCGAACAAAGTGAATTACCTGGAACGCATGATGCCGTTGCTGTCATCGGCTGTTTTGAATTATTCAGCCTGGCTAACAGTGGGCAACCTACAGTACGAGGCCTGTTTGCCGTTGAGCTGTCATTCATTCATTATCGATGAGAGGGAAAACCTGCGGCATGAAGAGTAACACGCAGATGGATTCTATGTTGTTCATCGACCTGTGGCATAAAAGAGTAACACGCAGATGGATTCTATGTTGTTCATCCTTGATAATATCATACGCTACTACAGGCGTTTACGTTTTGGCAACATCTAGTCAGGCTTGAATGTTTTTGGTCTTGACGCCTCAACCCATCACCCAACATTGAGAAGGGAATGTAATACCCACGTGGGCCTTTCTGACCATTTTTTTTTTCTTCTTGGTGTTTTAGTATATTTTAGAGAGACGGCTGTTGATTAGGAACGTCAATGTTTTCTCTACTCGATGATGACCGTCTTCGTCGATTTCTACGGTTCCAGTAAAAATGAAAAGGAGAAGAGGTTACGACCGCCATCCCAGTTAAGAATACAGTTCCGGTCTTCATCTCTGTATGTTTTCTTCACATTTTGGGACAGTCTGGAGTTCCCGTCGCACCATGCTGCTTCTCGCAGGTCAGCCCTAGTACTACGACAGATTTCTTGTGGGAGAAGACTTGCGATTGTCTGTCGTGATATCTGTCAATCGATCTAACGAATGCTTGAAGGCCTTGAGCTCATTCTGCTCTCTTGTGTTGCAGCACGAGGGCAGCGTATTTCCTTCAAACAATCCTTTCTTTTTATTTCCGCATTATTTTTGCACAATGTGGACCACAGACGATGTGAAAGTAGTGGGAGAGCTGTGTGGGCCTGTGTTCGACGACAAGCGAATGCCACTCTACACTGACAATGACCGTTTTGGAGCTCACTGACATGGACACAAGCAACTTTAGCGGACATTTACATATCTGCAATACTGTACAAAGCGTCTCACGGCGAGTCACTGTAATTGTGTTGTCATACTTTTGAAGAAATTGATATTGTGTGCTGCATTGTGAAGTGCATGTTTTCATCCTTTGCAACCCTTGAAACACAGGCTAAATTCAACAGGACACAAAATAGACGTGTGTGTCATCATTGGAGTGTTTTGACAAAAAACTAAACAAAACAAAAAAAAACAAAAACAAAAAACCACATCTTAAGACATGTTATCAAAACACCTGGGAACTGTTTTGAATTGTGAGATAAACAGGATCACATGCCCCCTAAAACATAAACAAAGCGTTCAAATCGAAAAATTGAAGATGATTCTTGATTTTTGAATATATGAGATGTGTTCCGATCGCATTGGTGTGTCCTGATGTTCTTCCTCAAATCAGTTAAATGTGACCTCATTAAGAGTGACTGTTACATCATTCTTATTGGCTAGCGCCCGAACCATCTCATGTTCAGTGTTCTTTGACAAATCACTCACAGATGTGACTGTGTCATCACCTTCTCAGTAAGGCTAGAAAAACAGTCTTGTAATTAAAAAAAAAAAAAAAATTATAATAATCATTAAAAAAAAAAATCATCCCTGAAATAGACTCCTCCCTTAAAATACAAGTTTGTTTTAACACCTGTTATTATCAAATTCGGGGAGTATAACCATTTGTCTGAGGTCATCTCGTGATATGTAAGCTGAAAGAATTTCTCACACGAAGGCTGAAAGCAGCAGAGAATCTCCTGTGCCTTTAATGGTTGAATTCCTTTTAATAGCAGTTCTTCAATCAAATTGGGCCTCCTAATATTCTCATCCAACAGAGGAGGTCATTATTCTAAAAAAAAAAAAACCTCCATATCACTTGACACACCCTTGACTAAATCATAGCTGAAAAAAATGAATCCATCAATCTATATTCCACTCATACAAAACATTGTGCACATCCCAATTGTCTCTGCTTCATCGACCATGATCGCATGCGTGTCCAAATGTTGCGAGTGTCCATTTGCCTCATCCATTAACTCATTGCGCACACAATGAATGGTATTTGAAATGTAATTGGCGGACTTCAAACACATCAAATGAATTGAGCAGTCTTCTATGGATAGTCACTAAAATAGTCCGTGGATGGTAGATGACATTTTATATGGATCGGCTATAGGTCAATTCCCGCCTTGATGGCGATATATTGAACAAGTCTATCATTTGGCACATGAATAATGCCTTGTTTTTTTTTTTTTTTCCCTCATGTTAGCTTCTCGGGCAACGCTGTCATGAGTACTGGCTGTCACACATGTCATCTTCCTCATCACGCAAACACAAAGGGAGGGAGGTGGTGGTGGTGGGGGGGGGGGCGGCACTGGCTACTGTAAAACGTAGCCACGCAAAATGCAATTAAAAGTAATGAGGGTCTGAAATATTGGCTCTGCAGAGACAAGTTACAAGGTAAACGGCATTGGAGAAAAGCCCGGCGCTATGAAGAACAATGGCATACAAAAGAGGTCTTGTTAGTCGCCGGAGAACACTGCCAGTTTGACCTCATTATTGGGGTTTATAGTGGTCACACCAATGACAAGAATGCACACTCATTTGGCATGCGGCAATGAGACAAACCGCTAGCAACTGTCCTTATGTACTGTTCTCTTCTTGATCCTCCAGAACAATGAATTGTGGTACTGTATATAACAAAAAAGCAAGGTGAGGTACTTTTTGTGTGCTCAGTTGTGTACAATCTTGTGCAGGCTATTTCTGGATTTCTACCCTCTGTGTCGTGTACCGGTTCATCTGAAATGTCTCCATTTTCTAAGACAGCATCTTGACAGAGATATCATGTCTTTCTTTCCTGATTTCAAACATACCAGTGGAGTTATCAGATGAGCCAAAGAAAATAAAATGCATACAAATGGTACATGAGATGACATTAGTGGAGTACTTTTAGAGAAGAACCACAGACATGCGGGTTGAATTGGGCACATCACATTTGGCACACGACCCTGCTTGAAATGTTACATCAGCCTGATGGCATATTTTTTTTTCTTCCCCCTGAGAAAAGTAAAGTACCGTAGAACGTGTAGCGAACAGCAGATGTGCCTTTGTCGGTCAGTACTGCATCTGTGTCTAATTGTCACTTTACTTCTCACATAATTTTGGTATTTATGGAATGCATAATTCAGCGACAACTGTCAGTCTTCTCAGCATTGCCGAATATATTCGATTAATGTTGAGCAACAACAAAGCATTGTGTTGATCTGGCTTTTGTCAGCACACAAAGCACGCTTTATCTTTGTTTCACACATAACAGATTACATGCGAGGGGATATTTACTCCACTGCGTGGCTTCGAAAGTGGTCGTCTGTTGGATGAGGGAGGAACTAAAATGTATGGCATTCATTACATCTGCTCCAAATTAACTTTTGCGTATTGCTGCTAAGTTCCACATCACTAATATTCTCACTAGCCACTCTTTGACATTATTTGCTCGCCCCTCGTCCGTTACCCTCGACAACACCATCTGAAGAAAACACCACCCTGGAGACGGTTCAAAGAAGGCGACGTGAACAAGAAGCAGGGGAGACGAGCCAGTCAAACAAAGGTCAAACGTTTACTTTTCCGCTTCAGTGAAAACTGCCTCAGACAATTTCAAGTGCTTGTCATAAACGAAGTGAGGAGCTCCTCAAATGCCACTTTGCCCTTTACAAATGAGGTGATGAAGTCACAAAGACTGGAGAGGCACTAACACTGGTCATATTGAATGTTTATCCGTGGCTTCACTCTGTTTTTAATGGACAGGATATGCAGACTGTTTACTCGACCATTAGAGCAAACAGGAAATTGAATGCACATTTGCATTGTGGCTTATGTCGTAAGTCAGCACAGGAAAACACTTTACATTACTTTGCATCTGTGCAGCATCCATATCAGAGGAGCATAAGTGAGTTAATGAAAGCAGAAATGGAGACTAGACGTTGTCCATAAGAGTGGATATAAATGTTCTCACAGGCTACCCAAAAGCACTTTGTGGAAACCACAAAATCATCCACTACTTCTATCACTGTGAATTCCCCATCTATATGACAATTAGGAAATTTTTCTCCACAAAAAGAAAAACTCTGGCTTTTTGGTCACAAGAAGAATGCAGAGGAAGTATGTAAAGCTCAAGATGAACAACATCTTTGAACCGGCTGTTGTGAACTTGTCTTCAACATTAAAGCTATTAAAAAAGACATAG